TCGGTAGGGAAAAAAGAAACCCCCCCCCCCAGGCCATGTGAGGATGGGAAAAAGAATGATGGTGAAAGCTTTAAGGGGCAAAGTGCCTCTCAGCCCTACTTTCTGACTCAGGAACTATCAGTTGGGAAAATAAGCCAGAAATACCCTTAAAATGATATTTAAATAATTGTAATTAAAATATTTCTAAAACATATTATACATTTACTGTACTTATTACCCAGAAGAAAATGCACACAGTTCAATTTCTTGATTTAAAGAGCCTTATTATAAATATACATTATGGTAATTTGTTTAGAGTGTATTCAAGGGTGTAGAACTTTTTGCCTTCACAATCATTTGCCTTAGACAACTATGATTTTTTTTAAAATCTATTTTTAGGGTTTCTCTCTCCTTGGATGAGGAAAATAAACAATGAAGGACTCAGTAGCTTAAGGCTTAGGGAAAATGGCCCAATGTTAACAGAACAAACATTGTCTAGGGAATTACAGTCCAAGCTAGATGATGGTAGAAGCAACCTTACAAATTAGTTCAACTCTCCACAACCAGGAAAATCAGCAATGGCAACTGAAAACATTTCTAATTCCCTTGTATTTTAAGATTCATGGAGAATTATAGGCATACCAGAGAATTAGACATGAACAAACAAAGGTTTTGGTTTATGAAAAGCTTGACCGAAGAACCCAAAAAGCAAAGCTTGAGATCCCTGTCAAAACTCTTCTATCATCATATTAATGGATTGTGAGTATTTAGCAAAGAAAGTGACAAAGCCCATCGTAAGCATGACATAAAGCTATATAAAATTAAAAATATTTTCTATATCTGAAAAAAAAAAGTGAAAAGACAAATGACAAACTGGCAAAATATCTTACAACGAACATGACCAAAAGGGGTTACTATTCCTAACCTAGAATGGACTCTTACAAATCAACTGCCCAATAAATATATGGACAGGCTATTCATACAGAAAGAAATCTGAGCAAACACAAAAGATATCTTTCTTTGTTTATGAGAAATGCAATAACAAATTCAAAGTAAACCTATGCAATGGTATTTGCCATAATGGTGTTTGTGGGTAATTGGAGACAATTTAAGTATGTAAGTATCTCTCTTCTCTATCCTTTTTGAAATACCTAACTGGTATTTTCTATGTTCAATTAGTGTTCAATAGATAAGTGAGTAAATGATTCATAGACATGGGCCACTGAGTCCTTTTCATTTGATTCCTGCT